GCATCTTTAGGGCTTGCAGAGATGGATTACTTTCCTTAAAATCTTAATTCGTATTTATCTGCAGAAAGAAAGTAAAATGCATCTGGGACAGCATGAGGGTGAGTAAAATAAGTCAGAATTTTATTTTTGGGTGAACTATCCCATTCATATGCTGTTGGTATGCTAATTCATGATCAGCAGAGACTAATAAGAATAAACTGCAACCTCTTGTGTACTGTGTTTGTTTTAATCTAGAGCTCCAAAGAAATTAAAATATTTGCTATTTTATAATATTAAAATAAAATACAACAGGTGTCTGAAGATAAGGATCCCAGTCATTCAAAGGTGATATGTCTAAACAAAGTAACATTATTGTCTGATGGAGACAGCTGATCTCTGGTATTATCACTCCATCCTCTGTGTCAGCATCAGAATTTTGTTTATGGAAAAGTTGCTCAAATCCCTGGAAAATGAGAAAGGAAATGTATTATAATCTAACAATACAAACTGCTTTGAACTCCCACATGCAGTAACAAGTTGCAGACTTAAAATAATTATTTCAAACAAATTATATAAATGTTTTAAGGGATTTTACAGTACTAAATGTTTACCTGACTCACACACCATTTATCATCTGTAATACTATTGTGTAACCAGTAGATGGCTCTATAGCCCAATAAACATTTATCCATGGCTATGTAGCGTCTACTTCCTAGTTGCTGGATTTTTTCAGTCATAATTACTTGCATGTATTAGGTTTTGCATTTGGATATATATATATATATATATATATATATATATATATATATATATATAAATTATTAAAGACTATTAAAAATTCAACATTTTTCTCCAAAATGTTTTTACATAATTATTACTCAAATATGGATACAGAAAAAGCATTTTGTTGCCTTTTGCAGAATAAATATTGCGGCCAGGGTTATACTTCAAAACAAATGAGTGTTTACATATTATGAATAGAGACGTGGAAAATGGTCAAGTACTGTCTCTCTTCTTTTAAAAACTGCATCACAAATTAATCAGCAATTGGCTTTACATTGCCAAAGTTGAATCGGGCAGTGATTGACAGGGCTCTGGTCCAATGGCATCGGTCATTGTCTGATACAGTACATTTTGTACTGTAGGCTACAGTACAGCTACTGTACAGTACCCTAGCACAATGTTAATTGGGGTGGCAGAGGGGAAATGTGAACTAATTGAAGCAAATATGATCTAATCGAAGACTGTAACCGTATGTAACGTTAGATAAACAAGACATGTAATGATTGGGCTAACAACTTACCAATTAAATCAAGACAACACTGCTGTATAATGTTATGGGCTCTCACTGAGCTCTAATATGCCTCTACACCTGAAAAAGCAAGAACTGTATTATAATTAGTATTAGTTTAGTATTATTAATAAAAAATAAAAACAATCAGACTTACCACAAGTAGCCTATGCTATCGAGTATTCTGATATCGACGATGACAAATTATATCATTTGTCTGTACTATTCCTTCTATAAGAAATCATATCAACAATATAGTGTAGCAGTAAATAAATATAGATATAAACTTAATATCACCTAAATGAAATAGAAAGCTATGCTTACAGGCGCTCACATCCACACGTGTAAACACAACACTCACTGACGTCTTCACTTCCAGGTCAAGAAGCTGTCAATCAAAAACTCAGTAGCCAATGAGAATACACTGCTACTAGCCTCGCCCCCATGAGAGATTTGTGTTCAGAACAGCGAACGCAAACTCAGGGAGTGTAAACGAAAACATCAGAAGCGTAAATGATAGGGATGCACCGATACCGATACCGGTATCTGGTATCGGCCTCGATACCACATTTTCTTAAGTACTCGTACTCGTTAAAAGTCCCCCGATACCGGGGACCGATACCATGTTCTGAGAAATGGGTTAATCACAGGCGCCGAGTGCCCACCCCCAGGCTCCGGCTGCAGCTCAGAGCGGGGAGATGGGGAGACATGTCAGCCGTGTGGAACAGTGATGCGCGGGTCAATGTATAAACAACCCGCACACTACCAACGTTTTCAACTACCCGCCCGCTACTCGGACCGCAAAAAAGTAAGAAAATATTGTACCCGACCCTCTTCCTGACCGTATTTTTTAAAAGTAGTACATGCTCATCGTAGCGTCATTGGGCCATAAACGTGTAACAACACAGCATCGCAAGAAGACGTAGCCTACATATAACAAAGGCAGCACTTTGGTCATCATCTTTCATTATTTCGGTAAATGTCTCCCACACTTACTCTTTCTATTTGTGTATTTGCGGAGCTTCCACTCCCCAGTCTTCACCTTTTCTCTTGCCGCCTCCATCTCTCTGCAGACTAGTGATCATAGACATGGCCGGTTCGTAAACGAATCGGTTCTTTTTAATGAACCGGTCGAACCAGTACGCTAAATCGAACTGAATCATTCGCATCAGTTCACGTCTTGCGTCAGTGCTGATCCACAAGTTACTACAGTTACTCACTTTCAGACATGCCTGACAGTCCCTCCGAGTTGAAATAAACCAATATCCCGAATTATATTTTACTCCAGTAACTCTAACAGTTCACTGAACTGAGACATGTTGTTGATACTGCTGATACTGCGCACCCGCGTAGTAACGAACGCAGAGGTACAGCGGTTCTCGGATCACACCAGTACAGAACTGAGAACTGTTTAGACTGAGCTTGTGTGTCATCTTCGTGCCAGTTATTCAGCCAATAAATAAATTCGGCCTATATATTTCATAGAAAATTCTATCTAGTAATATATAAATACAAAGGTTTAATTGGCATTTTTTTCCAAACGACCTGACCGACCGCGACCCGAATATCATTAAAAATATTTTTGGATGACCCGTAACTGCGGGTAACCGCGGGTGACCACGGCGCAGGCACCCGCTCATTTTGGATCAACCCGTGCATCACTGGTGTGGAACAATTTCAAAGTGAATGGCTTTGGATTAGGAGAATAAGTTTACTTGTAGTCGCCAAGTTACTTATAGTCAGTTGAATGTCTGTTGGGGGACCAAATAAATAAAGTGTTATCAGATATTAAGCTGATCGTACTAATACTCTAGTCTACTAATACTCTAATGACAGTTAGTTGACATGTAATTGAAAAGTTACTTATAGTTAGTAAAGTGGACTATCGAAATAAAGTGTTACCCAAGTAATTTAATCAAGGACCTAAAAACCCGTATATAAAAATATTTAAATCATGTTTTTTTTTGTTTTTTTATTAAGTACTCGGTATCGGTATCGGCGAGTACTGAAATGCAAGTACTGTACTCGTACTCGTTTTCAAAAAAAGTGGTATCGGTGCATCCCTAGTAAATGAAAACTCTGGAAGCGCATTTGTAAGTGTAGATCAGTAAACGGAATATGAGGAATAGTTAGCAAAACATGTAGTGTATTAAAAACAAAGTAAAAAAAAATGCTTGCGGTTCATTCTTTTTCAGTTTCAAAGATATTTTATTCAGTTTCAATTTATATTTTCATTAGTTTCTTGAAAAGTTACGTTCATTTTTATTGGCTCAAAATTAATTCCATAATATTGCAGTATATTGAAAAATATAAACGCAGGTTTCCCATATTTGAAAATGTATTATGTAATATATTGCATAATATTTTGCAGTATATTCCCAAATATTTTTATCCCGAAAGGGAATCTTGTGTTAAAAAACTTGTGTGAGTCGTTCCTGAAGGAGAGAAATGAGAGGTGTTCATCAGTGTCTGAGGAGATCTGCAGTTTACAGTGAGAAACTCAAACTCTTCTGTCTAGAGATCAAACAGCTGGTGTGTGTCATAGAAACACAACAATAACACATTCAGACCCATCGGAGAAGTTGTTCCATAATATAATATGGATTTACAGATGCGTATAAACAATAAAATAATTTAATTAAATAGATTATATTTTTAATTTAATTCTCAATACAGCACTGAAGTCCTTACAAGAGAAACTTAAACACAAAGAAAACATCATATAGCAACATTGTGTCGGCCCAGATCCGGCCCACATCTGGCACACGTGGAATGATGATCTGGCACCTGCAGCGTGGAATGACGGCCCTTGGGCGGACCACTCCTGTTTGCAAGATCTGGGTAGATCTTGGCCCCGAAGCGAAAACATACTGCGGTTGCGTTCTCTTCCTCCTTTTATACTCACGGAGTAGGGCGGAGTACGCTATGCAAATTTCCGCAGCCCCAAGGCATTCATGCCATTGGCTCGTGATTAAATACTCGAAGAGGATTGGATTTCTATGCGAAACCCCCCAATCTCCGTCACTTCTGACGTAACTCGAAGTGACTACGAAAGGGAAACATGTTTACAGCCTGGTGGCAAATAGTTGTTTTGGTCTATATCGCTAATTTTGCCCTTCATGACGACTGTGAGGGGGGTGAATTTTTTTTTTACAACTCATCTGTTTAAATTATATTTAAGCCTTAAAGTTCTGCAGAATTAAGGGCGTGGCCACTTGAGTGACAGGTGGATTCTTGCCGCCACTTTCACTGCTAGTCGTTTTTCTGCTGTCTGTTAGCGTCACTGTTTGTGCTTTTTCTGGGATTATTTCATACAATTTAATACATGTATTTTACCTTCGCCCGTGCACGCCGTTGGATTCCGTCGTGTTGAGTATGGAGAGAACGACCAGCGCTGTGTTTCCAGCTGTTTCCCTCGCATGCACTAATGGATGTCTGATGATTTCAGTGCTTTCTCTCAGTCCATGCAATAGATGCACACCCTTGAATGAGCGCGGATTTCTAGTTCATTTACTTGAAGTTCTGAGGTAATATCTTTGGTTTGACCCATCTGAGGAGCTGGCGGCCAAAATCAGATTGTAAAATGGACTGAATAAAGCTCTTTACGAACTTGACGTTAGATGCCGACTGACATATGTGCTTGCCTTGAATCATTGTCACATTGTAACATCTACTTTTAAGAAAGCTTGCTAAGAAAGATTGCTACATAATAAAGTGAGGGACCAGAGACTTCACATTTCAATGAGCCATGTGTATTATACCATAAATCAGCATTCAGGCAGTAACCATACAAAATATACATGAGGCATTCATTTACAAGACAATAGGGCTAATTCAGCTCTTCCCAATAATGCTTTTGGTAGCCAAGAGTTCAGTCCTTAGAGTCCCACAAGTAACAAGAAACTGTACTTAAGCGCAGAGTGGAAGAGTTCACAATGGTCTGAATCCAAGTGTCCAAGCAGCGGTTGATACTAGGACAAACTGTAGTTCAAGGCACAAACAGCAGATGCCAAAGGTGTGATTGTAGACAATTAATTCCATATTGGTCAAGGGTTTAGTTATAGATGAGTTGCTGCCTCATGCCTGCACGATGAACCCTCTGCATCAAACAAACAAACAAACTGAGTGCCACCATAACACATTTACATCACATTTGCTGACACATCACCTAACATTACACATACAAACAAAGTACAAACTGAACACTTACGTTTGAGCATAAGAACCACAGGTTCCTCAAATCAGGGAAAAACATGACCACACTAGTAGGGAAGCTTCTCCATGTGCTTAACACATCCTTCCTTCCTTACTCTACTTCTTCTACCATTTTATGCTACTAGGAACCTTCCTTACTAGAGTACCCCCTAGTGGTAGAACGGAGTATTACACAGTACAGAGAGCTAATAAGACAAATGTAACTGCAAGCTGTTACACACCCCTCTCCCTAAAGAAAAGTCTCAAATACTCCCATAGAATTTTTTTAACTTTTCAACTTTTAAGTATCACATTGGTTCGGATTGTCAAGCATTACTACCTTGTAATTGACACTATTCATTCTCTTCAAAATCTTTGCAGGTCCCTGCCATTTTGGAGCTAACTTGGCAGTAAAGTAATCAGCAGCTCGGGAAAGATGATGAGTCAGTACCCAAACCAGATCTCCTTCCTCAAAGGTTTCAGCCCTTCTTCGTTTATTGTAGTACTTGGCTTGCCTCTCCTGTGCTTGACTAGTTTTCTCCCTCACTTGGTCCAGAAGAATCTTCTGTCTCTCAATTGTGGTATAGGCTACATGGCCGGGATTAGGCGCCTTGCGGACTAACCGTTCAAGAGGTCCTTTTAACTTACGTCCAAGTGCAATTTCCGCTGGAGTAAGAGCTGTACTCTCTTGCCACGCCGAATTTATTGCATATCGGAACTCTGGTAACCACTTATCCCAGTCACGATGGTTATCATGGACAAAAGATGCTATCATCGTTTTCAAGGTTCTGTTGACCCTCTCAGTTAAGTTGGTCTGAGGATGATAAGCTGTTGTGAGTTTCTGAACCACACCCCATCGTTTACAGGTATCACTTAGTAGCTGGCCAGTGAATTGAGGTCCTCGGTCTGAAACCAAGTATACCGGCGTTCCCCATCCTGTGAACATCTCTTTTATCAGTATGTTGGTTATGAGGTGAGTTTTCGAAGACCGCAGAGCAAAGAGTTCTACCCACTTGCTGCAATAATCCACAAAGACTAATAGGAATTCATTGGATCGAGGGCTTCTCGGGAAAGGACCCATCAAATCCACTCCGAGCATATATCCCGGTTCTACTACTGGGGTTGACTGCAACAATCCAGATAGCTTAGTGATTCTTGGTTTGTAGGCTTGACACGTCTTACATACCTTACAGAAACTCCAAACATCTTTGCGAATTTCAGGCCAATAAACATTGTCAAGTAGCCTCCGTAGAGTTTTCATTCTTCCCAGATGACCACTCAATGGATTTGCATGAGCAAATTACAGGAATGCTTCCCTCAATGATGCAGGTATGACTAGCTGATTAGTGTACCCTAGTTGCTTGTCCGGTACCCTACGAAACAAGTAGTCATTTTCCACAATGTAAGCAACACGGCTTGGGTCAGTATTAGTTTGTTTAGCTGACTCCCATAAGGTCTGTAAAGAAGAATCAAGCTTTTGAGCTCTCCCAATCTCATCCCAGCTGACTGGTAAATTAGGGTCTGGTTTTGTGGGTTGACACAGGGCAATGTGGCCTACCACCTCTTGCACAGGTATGCCTCTGGATAGGGCATCAGGTACCACATTACAGGATCCCTTACGGTACTTAACAGTGAAGTTAAAACTTTGCAGCCTTAAAGCCCACCTAGTCAAACGGGAGGATGGTTTGGGTTGATTGAATACCCAAGTCAGGGCAGAATGGTCTGTGAGTACTTCAAAGTTTCTTCCCTCCAGGTACTGTCTCCACTTTTCTACAGCCCACACCACGGCTAAACACTCCTTCTCAGCTGTAGAATATGATTTCTCAGCTCCATGAACCAGTCTCGAGGCATAAGCGATGACATGCTCCAATCCGTCAACCTCCTGTGTCAGAACAGCTCCTAATCCTATATCACTAGCATCCGTTTGTACTTTAAAATCTTTTGTGAAATCAGGTGGCATTAGAACTGGTGCTTGTTGAAGGGCACTTTTAAGATCATCAAAAGCTTTTTGACATTCAACTGTCCAATCCCACACTGCATCCTTCCCTTTTAATGCGTACAAAGGTGCTGCTCGCTCAGAAAAATGAGGAATGAAGCGGTGGTACCAACTTGCAAGGCCTACAAATCTCTGTACCTCCTTGACGTTCTTGGGTACCGGGAAATCACGGACCGCTTCAATTTTTGAGGATTCAGTATGGACTCCTTCTCCAGAAATAACATGTCCTAGGTAAGTGATGGTCTTTTGCAACATAGAACACTTCTTGAGATTGAGAGTTAATCCTGAAGCTTCCAGCTTTGCAAAGAGTTGCTTGAGATGTTGGAAGTGATCTTGAATGCTCCCAGAATAGATCACAATGTCATCAAGATAAACGAAACAGAACTTCCCCAAGTAATCTCTCAGAACGTTGTTCATTAGCCTTTGAAATGTTGCAGCGGCGTTTTTGAGACCAAAAGGAAGACGAACAAATTCAAATTGATTGTTTCTGGTGACAAAAGCAGTCTTTTTAACACTGTCTTCATCCATTCCTACTTGCCAGTAACCAGATTTAAGGTCCAATGTGCTGAATATGGTCGCTCCATACAAGGATTCTAGGATATCTTGAATCTGTGGCATTGGAAATCCATCAAGAGGAGTCTTTGCATTCAACCCCCGGTAGTCAACACAAAAGCGAGTACTACCATCCTTCTTTGGCACTAAGACAACTGGTGCAGCCCAAGGAGAAACAGATGGCCTTATGATGCCTTTGTTCAACAGATTCTCTACCTCTTCATCTATGAACTTTTGTTTGGTAACGGAAACAGGGTAAGCTTTCTTACGCACAGGAATCTCGTCAGTCGTATGAATTCGATGGTGAATCAAAGTAGTCTGTCCCAAATTATCTGTGCATACTGTCGGCCAATCAAGCATTAGACCTTCTAACTGCCGCTTCTGCGCTTTAGAAGCATCAGCTCGACTCACTACTTCCTTTACAGCCGCTAGTGTAGTGGAAGTCGTTAGCACTAAAGGTAGTGCAAGGTGTAGACTGACCATTGGCAAGGGTGAAGAAGTGTTGAAGGAGTAGATTGTGTCTCTGTCTTCAGGTAATGTATAAGTGGAATTTTTAAAATCAAGACGGATACCGGAAGTCATCAGGAACTCAAGCCCCAGTACAACTGAGAACGCCAGATCACTGTCTCTCATTACATAAGCCCTTAGCGGATAGTCATGACCATGGACTGTAGCCTGCCAAGCTATCTTCCCCAAGGCTGTCTGTACATGACCATTTGCGAGTGAAAATGACTGTCCCCTACTTGACTGCATAACTTCATTGGGTGACAATTGCTGCCAACAGGATTCTTGTACTATTGAATAAGTGCTTCCGGTGTCTAGAATTGCTTGATATTGATGGCCTTTTATGGTTATGGGTAAAGTTAACGTAGACATCGGCTTTCCATCATGTTCTGAAAAGACAGCAATATGTGGGTTAAATGGTCGTCCTTTTGAGTTCCTATTGGCTTCAGCAGACTTAGGGGAGTTTTCTTGATGCCTTTGCCTCCAGAAAGCTCTCTCTGCCGCAATATCTCTCTCTATGAGTGTTCCTACCCGTACTAGCTCATCCACTGTAGTTGCAGTACCTCGTAAAATACTAGCTATTTTTGGATTACAGTTCCGAAGTGTTGCTTGAAGGATTTCACGTTCTGTCATCGCTGGTTTCAACCTCAAACATAGCGCTCGGTACTGGTATGCAAATGTCCAGATGCTCTCATCAACTCCTTGTTTTCGTTCTCTTATTCTTCTCTCCACTTCAACCTCGTGATCTTCAGATAAAAAGGATTGAAGAAAAGCAGACTTAAACTGTGCCCAAGTTTTTACTTTTTTCTTTTCTGCCAACCACCAGTCTTTAGCTGTGTATGTTAATACAGAAGGAAGCATGGATAATATTTCCACATCATTCAAAGGTTGCATAGCTAGATACTCATCACATCGCTCCAGATACGTAATGGGATCCTCTCCATCCAAACTTCCGAACTTTGGAAATTCTAATTTGACAGGGGTCTGACAGTGCATCGGTCTGAAGGAACTATGAGTTACTCCAGTGTGGTTAAAATTTGGGGTAGAAGTGGCTCCCTCAGAAGACTGAATCAAAGATCTCAACTGGCTATCTCTCCGTTTCAGGCAATCTATAGTTGCTTTTTCCAAATCCTGGACCTTAGCTTCCAATGTGACTTTTACTCGCCCGCATCCAGCCTCCAGTTTAGCAGATAAAGAGTCTTCTAACTGCTGTATCTCTGTATGACGATCTTGATGCAAATTTAAAATATGTTGCAACTGATTTTCAATGGCAGTCATGCGATTACTTTGCACATCTAACTGGTATTGTATATCTTTAAAGTGTATATTAGAGGATCCTTCCCAACCCTCCATTTTACATTCAATTTTATGCATTCTTGCGGCCAAACAGTCATCATCTTCGTTGGGAGGAGGAGGAGGAGGAGGCAACAAAGAATCATCAAAATCATATTCTTGTTCTAGATCTTCCTGTTCATTTTCCAGATACAAATTACTAAGAGAATGAATAAGGTCTCTGACAGGCTCACGACGTGTAGTGAAAGGTGCTGAAGAATAGTCTGGACTTAAAGGATCATTTCCCCCTGTCTCTCCTTGTGAGAAAGCCATTTTGCAACTAACAACCTCTTTAAGTAATCTTAATTCTAAAGACCCAAAGTAAATGAAATGTAAAGATACCTCAAACTATGGTCACAATAAAACACTTGTGTAGAATGGCTCATTGCAAATAGAATTTATGTCTCTCTTCAAGATTCAACAAAATGTTGCTTCCTGTCCCTGTTCGGGCGCCATATTTTATGTAACATCTACTTTTAAGAAAGCTTGCTAAGAAAGATTGCTACATAATAAAGTGAGGGACCAGAGACTTCACATTTCAATGAGCCATGTGTATTATACCATAAATCAGCATTCAGGCAGTAACCATACAAAATATACATGAGGCATTCATTTACAAGACAATAGGGCTAATTCAGCTCTTCCCAATAATGCTTTTGGTAGCCAAGAGTTCAGTCCTTAGAGTCCCACAAGTAACAAGAAACTGTACTTAAGCGCAGAGTGGAAGAGTTCACAATGGTCTGAATCCAAGTGTCCAAGCAGCGGTTGATACTAGGACAAACTGTAGTTCAAGGCACAAACAGCAGATGCCAAAGGTGTGATTGTAGACAATTAATTCCATATTGGTCAAGGGTTTAGTTATAGATGAGTTGCTGCCTCATGCCTGCACGATGAACCCTCTGCATC